CCCTCCTTTTTCGGGCACTTCTAGTGCTTGGATCTGCATGACATTTTGCCGAATTTTCCCCTAAAGTATGACAAGTGCAATTATCTAAATTAAATGTCAATACTATTGTATAATAAAAATGTATGTATACCTTCACTAGGGTAGCTGAAATATGGACCTTTTACGTCTAAAACATTTCAAGCGTATTACATATTTTGTATGTGCTTCCTGATTAGTTATTTGCACTCTACACTTTATTTGAAGCATTTTGAACTATGAATGGTAAAAAACTACAGAAATTTACGAATGAAAAGAGGGGGGCAAATTGATTAAAATTGTCATTTTGTCATGTTGCAGAGCTACAAAAGTGTAACTTGCAAGAAAACTACTTATATATTTGAAATCAGCATAAAAAGTTTCATAAACAGCTCAAATTCCATTGCTCTAGGTTGAATATTAAAAGAAAAAGTGTCTTCGAGTGCATCTCTACTTAAACAGCTTCACCCCTAATAATAATTGTTAGGGTTTAACGTCCCAAAGCAGTAATATCTTAAGGAGAGACGCCGTAGTGGAAGGCCCTGGCAGTTTCAACAACTTGTTTTTTTTTTTTAATGTGCACCGAAGTCAAGTACATGAACCTCGTGCATATTTACTTCCATCGAAAATGCAGCCAATGTGACTAGCAGTCGATCTCACTACCTACGGGTAAGCAAATAACCACTACACAACCACGGTGGGTCGACGGTGTGAGGACAGACCTTCGGGGCCACCGGAGACCGGGGATGAAGATGCCGAGGCAGGAGGAAGGTGAACTTACAGAAGGTTTATTTACATTCTGTGCCTGGCGAGCTCTTCGAATGAGCCGGGTGACTAAGGGTACGCTTTCCCCAGATCCCTAGATCGCGGAATGGATGCAGATTGCACTGGGCAATCACATGTCCCACATGGTGAAGTGAAGTTTATTTTCCTTTCACACAAAAGGGGGAAGCCGGGGCTAAAAGCTGGAGTGCTTGACAAAGGCCTCGGCTCCCTTGTACACCTTGACATCAAATCAATAAACACAAGCACAAAATTGCAATGTCAGCTGCATTCGCCATTGCAAAGAATGTTGCTGTTGAGCATGCAGCGCGTAGACAAAATACTAAGCATCATAAAAATACAAAACGGAAGTTCTGACTTGGTTGCACGAAAGCATAGCGCAGTTTATCTTTGTGAAGCCAAATTACACAACCTTAGAAATAATAATGAAATCACAGTTTGTGTTTTTGTAACTAACTCACACAACCTTTTGAACAATTATGCCAGAAGACTGAACCCACATCAAGCACATCTCGTTCGCTTATTTGAACCTGTCCAAAAACCATGCTGCGAGGTTTATGAATTTGTGCCGGTTTTATGAACTCAATGAAGGGCGTCTGCAGATAGTATAGAATTTGAGGGGGGGGGGACATTTCTGTTCAGTTTACAATGCCTAAAAACTTTAGTTTTACATTTTAAAGCCCAGCAATTATTAAAAAGACGCTAAAGTAAGGAATGACGGTCAATAAAGGTCCATTTTTCGAAACAGCGACGAAGTGTTCTTTCTTCGACCTTCTAAGTTCATATTATATCCATTTTCGCTAACGCCACGTCTTGTGAATTGTGCACCAGACGTCTCTGCACTTCCAAGCCTTGTGCTATTCAGTATCCACATTTTCTCCCACGTTTCTTCAGTGACTTGTCAGAGAGTTGAGGCTTCGTCTCATATATTTCCCACAAGGTGTGGGTTCTCCAACGCGTGGCGTTGTAGAGTGTAGGACACTTTCAAGCATCAAGAGTGTCGGGAACATCGCAAGATATTGAAGTGGGAATTCACTAGGGTTCCTTCCGTACATAACAATTCTGTGTACATGTTTGATGGTTTGTGGTTCACGGTGGCTTTTTTACACTTCATTTGGTTGTCGAATGAGACGTACTCTTTTTTCCACAGCGGGTAAAGTAATCCATACCCCACCACCCCTTGCAATGAACGCACGGATGGATAGAAGCATGAACGAATAGACAGACGGATGAACACATGCGCGGATAGACAGCCAGATAGACGAAAAGAAGCACGGACAGACAGATGGACGGAAGAATCGATGGACAGACAGACAGACCCAGACAGACGGACGGACGAACTGAAAGCGGGACGGGTGGACGCTTGGACGGACGGACGGAAGCAAGGCCGTATGGACAGGTGGACGTATGCACAGACAGAATCACGGATGCACGGACGGAAGCACGAACGGACGGATGGACGGAAGCATGGACAGATGGACGGATGGGCGAATGAACGGACGCACGGGTGGTTGGACACACGGATGGACAGATGGACGATTCGCCCCATTCATCTTCATTCACTTTGTGGATATGCCGTGAAAACCATTAACGCCATCTTGTATTATTTCAAGGACATATACACACAACATGATATATTGATCTAGACATAATCTAAAGGCGCATGGCTACATACTACATACGGAGGAGGAAAGGACCCCCGGCTTAAGGAGCTTCGCCTCTAAAGCAACGTAAAATAGACGGGACAAACGAATAAGCAGCCAGGATGAACGTGGCTGGGGTAAGCAACGAGAGCCCGATGTAGAAGAAATGAATCGCAGAAGTGCGTTTCGCTTGGCTAGTTGGTCACAACACGTGAAAGAGAAAAAAAGCCGCCCGCATCTTCCCACGGAGGGTACTTAGTAAATCCGTCGCGCAGTATTGGGGGTATCCGTGCATGTTGTCTGATTGGGTGAAGGTTTGGGAATGCTTAATTCTGATTTCGCGTTTGTTATTCTTATTTATTGATGGAAGAAAAAGCGTCGCCTTCAACGTCATGCGAAAGCCAAGTAAGGACGCCCTTGACTAAATTCTAAATACGCAATCCAGTGTAGCCAGTGAATGGTTCTGCAGCACTAGCAGTCGTTTTTTTTCTCTACTAGCTGACGCTGTCTACGTCAGCCTTGCGAAGCGAAAAAGGGGGAGAGCAGTGCCAGTTTTGCGGGTGTCTTCGTGGGCCGGCACGAGACCCAGCACGTGAACATGCACACTGGGGGTGTGGACGGCACCACCGCCAATGCCCTAGCGCGACATCACGCGACTATATTCTATTCTAGGCACTATAGTGTGTGTGACTAAGGGATACTCCGCTGTTTTTTTTAATTGCGATAGCAATTCTATGGACACTCCTCAGCTAAATTTTGCCGCCAGCGTCGGCGTCAATGTCATGCCCCGTATATGTATACATATCTATATATATGAAAACGCAAGAAAGAAAAAAATCCAGAAAAAAATTACCCCGGCACGCGGAAGCGAACGTGGGCCCTCTGCGTGGTGAAAGTGAGGCGTTGACCCCTCAGCCACCCCAGAGGACGTTCTTCACCGTTCAAACGGCAAGATATTTATATCTACCACTTACCATTGCTGTTTTTTCGGCATTACCAGAAAGACGGCGCAATGAGCGCACGTCGCCACATCACGCAGCGGCGCCCGCTCTAATCTTCTACGCGTACTTTGCCCGGCTTAGCGAAGGGGAGCTACGCTCCTCTCGCGCCCTTATCTCGCGGTGGCGAGGAGGGGAGGATTGTATGCGTTGGCTGGCCTCGGGCTTTTACGTGGAACGATTCTGCTGTAGTTACCGGGCGCGCAAAGGTCACTGCAATCATTGCAGCCTCCGTTCGCGAAAAGCGCGCGCTTTTCAGACTCGGCGAAGTAACAAATGAGACGCTTATTCCCGTGCATCTGTACCTGTGAGTACGTTTCGAGCGTAATTTTTGCGTGAGAAATGCGGTGCACGTTTCGATCTGCTTTCCAATCTGCGCGTGACCTTTCAAAGTGTGGCTATCGCATTCATGGATTCGCCTTTGTGTCAAAGCTGTGACTTTTTATTCAAAAGACGGCTCTTTGGCCTAACTAGTGTACATAAAAGAACCAGGTTCGCATGGATCACACATAAATAAACAAGTCGCACCTATGCATAAAGTTCAACAGAGGTCGGTTGAAAGGCCCTCTCAAATGGTTCGCATTTAAAACAGCGCAATACAGACGAGACGAGACGAACGGAGAGTCACCCGACATGTGTGCTGCTGAGATAAGAATCAAGAAATTCACACTACCTGTATGGTCCTTACTTCGTCTGGTCTAGTTTGCTCTGCCTTTTATAATATATGACGCATCGAAACATACTTCTGTAATAAAATCATGCGCCTTCAAATCGTCGCCCTATTGAATGCTACCACAGGAAATTGAACCAGCGGACTCGCCATCGGCTTCCGTTCGCTTGATCGGAGTATGTTCTCGACCCTCGAAGCAAACGGTGAGACGCCGTAAAAATTGATGACGAAGTCCGAACCACAATATAGGACAATGCAAAGCAGACATCTATTTGTAGATGTGCGGCTTTCCCTTTTTCCTTATATTCATGGAAAAGGCGTAAAAGTATAGTACTGGAGATAGATTGTATTGTTAGCCGAAGTTGTTCCATACTGAAGGAGGTACGCCTACATAATAAAACTTCATAGCAACAAACATTTAATTGACGTATGCCAGGTTCATTTCAGGTGCTCAGAACATGCCGAGGAACAATTGTATTAGTGATTGGGGTCGGCAATATTTAATGTGTGGAGAGAAAGGAGGAGGGGGATCCTCGAGAGATTTTAGCTATGAACAGCAACGCAAGAAGCTGCAATCAAGGTGCTCAAGCATTATGCATATATTTATAAACGTTTGCAGTGCAGCTCTTACAATGAGATGACATGAGGAGTTCCGTGCTCTTTCGTTGAATGGTGCGGTACGTTTACACCTTCGAGCTTCCATTAACTAAATATTGATGTAAATGCAACAGAAATTTAGTTATTATCTCACGCATGCCTTTCTGGAGTGTTCTTGAACGGGAATGTTGTTTCAAGTGAGGCCAATCTGATCATGTTATTGGTCTTGTTCATCAATATTGCGTAGCCGCAGGTGCCAATGATACTTACACGTGCTTTTTCGGACTGACTTACCTATTTTTAGCGCGTCAGCAGCGTGCTGCTGAAGGTGGAGGGCCAGCAGGAAGATTGGCGCCCAGCAAGAAGCAGCCGGTCGACGGCCTGCTCGCAAAACGCAGTCCATGCCTAGCACGCAGTAGCTTCCGCACAGAAACGGGACCGATGAGGTCTTCGAAAGCGTTTCCTTCGCGGCGCTGCACAACACACACACACACCCACACAAAATCACTCACTTCCCTGAGGGATGCGACGAAGAGCACACCTCGGTGATTGCCTTCACCACGCAGCCATCGGCGGCCGGCTCAACGTGTCTCCTCCCATGTTCGGCAGCCTCTCTCGCTCCCGCGTTTTTTTCTCTCCTCTAACGATCGACGGAAGAGAGCAACAACAGTTTTCGACTAAAAAATAAATTAGGCAAGACTCGCGTACGTGAAAACCGCACAGGGCAGCCTCAAAAGTAGCCGCCACTCCAGAAGATAGCGGTGTGCATGACGGAGAGTCCGCTCAGTGGCATCCGCTGCGGGGAACTGGGGAGACGACGGCCGCCATTACCGGAGCCCGCTCGTGGGTGTGGCCAGAGATTGGGAAGGGAGAGGAGCTCCCCAAAGCCGTGCGACGCGCGGGAGAGGAGGGAGCGTCCCCAGCAATATGGCGGCGGCGGAGCGCGAGCCGCAGTCGGGCAGCACGGTGACTCTAGCCTACCCCAACAAGCGCTCTGCAAAAGGCATTCGCTACAGAGCCGTTGCCTTTTTTGTTTTTCCTTTACACTGTGTTGCTGCTTTTCGTTGGCGCGCATTGCATGTCGCCCTGGCTGCCTTTTTGTTGCTGCTTATAGAGCTCCCGCATTCCCGCTCCGACCGAGCATATCATTTTTGTTTTTGTTTTGGTGCGCTTATCCGGGTTTCTCCGTTTTCTTTTCGGGTGGTTTATTAAACATTGATTCAGCAGAAGAGGTTTTGGTACGATGATGCCAGCTGATTCGTGTTGATGCAGTTAGACTACTCTGAACGTGCTTTCTGTTTCACCTTCGTTTGCTTTCATCGATGCGTCCTGATATATAGATATCAGTTTGTATATTCTGCACCTTGGGGAAAAATTCTTGGCGTCCAACTCGCAAAAACGAAAAAGATCCTTCAGGCGTATCTGTAGCTGCATAAAGTGCCCCCGCCACATTCTCTCTCCGAGTGATTGTATCATTTCAGAAAAACAACTTTAATCTGTGTCCATGCTTCACAAAATAATCTTGGCTTAGTAGCAGCGTACTAGATGCAGAGATTAAGTACTGCATGCAGAAACAGCTTCTTCGGGCGAGAACCTGTGATAAAAAACCTATCGATCTGGGTTCTGTGCCAGAGCCATGGCACGCCGCAACAGTATTATCGAAAACCTGAGTGGATTGAGCTTTAGCAGCGGAGCTGATAAGCCTTTCGTTGCTTCACCTCGCATCGACAAAAAATGTACCAGCACTCGCCATCGTTGTCTCATCTTCTCTGTCCTATTCTTCATATTCTGACTCGCTCTCCGAACAAATGCGACGATTGGTCTGACGTGGAATTCAATAAATGGAGAACGAGTACGGAGAGGGGTATGAAAAAAATACAGAGGAAGTGCGAAAGAAAATGAAGGAAATTAGAAATACGGAGCATTTAAATCTGGAGAAAAAAAAGATATAGAGACAGAAAGACACATGAAGAGAAGAGAAAGAAGATGACGACAGTAAGAAAAGATGAAATGAGAAAGCTGCCCAGCTCCGCCCTTTCTCCAGGCGTGGCGCCACTAGTGCGAAGCTGGTTTACTTTTTGCGTATCATCCTCATTTTTAGCTAAAAACAGAGATGTCTCATCAAGTCCGAAAAGTGATCATTAGTGGCGTCGGCGGGAAATCGAGTGATGCAAGAGACCATCATGTGGCGCCTAACAACGTCATAGTAAGCACAGAGGTTGGATGAACTTGTGCTGTCCTTGAGACGTCACAGAGACTTAACGCAATGTAATGCCTCGTGATGACGTCATCTCATGACACGGTCACTTCTTCAAAGTGAACCGATCTCGGAGACAGTGCGGAACCACGAGAGGTTCACGTACCTTTCAAAGCCTCTAATTTCGGGCCAACGCATACTACGCTGCGAAGACATAAATGCACTGAGAAGAAAAAAATTAGCGTAGCTTCCTCAGGAGGTGCAATTCCAAAGAGACAGCAGAGCTGTTGTACCCGTATGCATGCAGTCCTGGCTTTTCCTGTTTTGCTAATGGCGTATTCGGTTGGCTGCTCGGATCCTTTGGCCCAGAGTCGCCAGATGCAGAGGCAGCTTGCAATCGGAACACGAGAGGCAACGTACGAACCAAATACATCGGCGATCTAAGAGCGCTTAGATTCGCGTGCCTGTAGCGCTACCGTGCAGCCAGTGCGGGAAGCTGCCTGGTAAACATTGCTGCGCCGCGTCAACAAATGACGCCGATCAGTTCAGTGGACATCTTTGACATGTCTTGCCTTCGTTATATTCTCTCTCTCTCTTTCTGGCATGTCAGGATGTATCGGAAGCCTTCTGAGCTCAGCACATAAATTTGGCGTTAGTCCTCGTCTGAGCTGCTATCTTCAAGGCAAGCCACGAGGTTGTCTGCGAGCTGCTGTAACGACAGCATTGAAGTTTTCTGCGCATCCGCTAGCCGCCTCGTTATCGACATGGTGCATTTATGGCTTTGTACATGTGAATTCACCCCACACGCGCGCAAAACTGTCAATAACAACGCACATACACGAAGTAATGCGCACCCGGCGATACCCCCTTCCTAAATGCACGCTCACGCTCCTCACCCCGTTCATCTGGCGGCAGCCACATGATTGGCTTGGTTGTGTCACGTGATACGTCCTCTCGATCAGATCGCGCCACGCTCTCATTTTGAAGTCAGAGTGGTCGGGAGCGCTCTGAGTCAGAGGCTGACGCTCCGAAAGAACGAACCGAAGGTAGTTAGAGCGCTCGAATGCTACCAACCGAAGGTGCAGCCAAGCGATCGAGAACGCCCAACCGAATACGCCATAAGTTTTGCCAATTTTCTTTTGCAGTTTTTAGGGGTGCAGCTCTTCAAGGCGTAGACTTGTCCACCGTTGTTGTCACTCGTAGCCACCGCTATATGGCGATGGCGCTGTGGCGCTCGCACCGCTAGTACTCGGCTTGCTCAGTATACTCGGGGACAACTTTCGTGGTAAGGAAGAGAACGATGTGGTGCCAAATTGGGCGTGTGCCACCGCTTTGTATAGTGCCAAAAATGGATTCGTGTTTTCCGCGCAAAAATAACAAAAAAGAAACTTATTTTCCAGTGGATGCTGTTTATAAGAAGACGCTGCACGCACCGAGAAGATATTCGTATTTGTCGTTGCCTTATGAAGGGTCACTTCGCGTTTTGGCGCGCATGAAAACGCTGAACATTTTACGTGCACGTCACAGTCAAAACGGTGTCTTCGTCTTTAATTGAGCACACGGCGCCCTCCAGCTATTACGACGACTCGTTGATAAAGCTTTTCTCAAATTTCACTCACAAATGGCTGTGTAAGCAGGCGTATCAAATTGTGTGCAATGAGATTACGCGAGCCCAATCAGACTACTTCGCGGGGGAGTACAGCAGCAGAAGTTCCGCCCCCGTAGCTTTCCCTTCATTGCCACAGAAAGTTGTCCCCGAGTATAGATAGTGCTGCAGCGCTCACTTCACTAAAGCCCCTATATTTTGGCTTTGCGCTCCACTCTGATGCATGCTCTAGTGTGGTAGGAGACCGCTAGAGGCGCAGCTATGAAATGCGTTTGCTCTAGGCGCACTTCCTCTTTCGCCGGCAGTCCGTGTGTTTCGAGTATGAGCGACGAAGTATAGGCTCGGAAAGCGACTCGGAAAGCGACTCGGAAAGCGACTGCAGCAGAGAGCCCGCGAAGCCGAAGCTGCACAGAAGCACTGGTAAGACGATCCTGAGCTGAGGGCCGTCGAAGCGATGGTGAAACGCGCACAGTGTTTATCACGTCTTTACATGACCACCTACTGGGCAAGATTTATGGAGGCTTCACGGTTTACCGTTGTCCTTCTGTAGCTTCACCCACTCACCATCATTAATTCACTCCGAGGATATGCTGCGATTTCTCATTTCTCTCTTGACTATGTCTTTTCTCTATGTTTATTTCTATTTATTAAATTGTGTTTGTATTTTTTATTATCTTTCTTTCTCTTTCGTGCCCTTCTTCCTTTCTTTCTCTATTTCTCGCTTGTTTTCTTCTTTTTAATTTTTGTCGTTTTAATCTCCCACTTTATTTTTTTGTCTCTCTTTGGTTGATTTTCTTAACTACTTTTTCTGCATGCTATCTCTCTGTTTTTTCATTCTTTATATGCTGAGCTTTACTATCTCTTCCCTCCTCCTCACAAATATCTTCCTCACTCTCACTTCTGTTTCTCAACTCTTGCTACACTCTACTGTACAAGGCTATCCTATGTGTGGCTCACGTGCTAATTTCTATATCCTACGTTATCTCGTGCCACACAAGCCCAATAACAGTCCTATAATTGTTGACATGCTCTTAATAATGGGGATGTACAGTTTGTGGAAAGGTAGCATGTTAGGCAGGCATGCAGAAAAAAATTGTATCATCGGGGTTGCATTTAACACAAATGGCTCTACAACTAAAGGTATTTTATCAGCATCTACAGTTCCAGCCGGACTGGTATCCACTGTTCATGAAATGAACTGCTTTGAATCTCTTTTAGAAGACATTGGTATTTAAAACTTCTTTCAGTGCAACGCTTATTGTGCGCTTGTAGAGGTGCCTTTCAGTATTTTGTTCACTGTAGTGTGCCTTTCGCCCTTTTGTAAGATATACCACGAAAGAATAAATCAAAAGGCACACTCGACTGGTTAGTGCGCTCGCCTTTGAATCGATGGCATGCGGGTTCCAAAGTCATCTCGTGAAATACCCCTTTTCACGAAAAAAGTTCTTTTAGGGGCGAAGCTCCTTAGGGCGTGGGCTGTGCGTCCCCTGTATGTAGCCACCTCTAGTTTAGTTCTTGCAGTGTTCACTAGATGGCGGTACCGTCCCCTGTATGTAGCCACATCTAGTTTAGTTCTTGCAGTGTTCACTAGATGGCGGTACCATCTCCTGTATGTAGCCACCTCTCGTTTAGTTCTTGTAGTGTTTACTAGATGGTGGTACTTGTAGCTGATGATGAAAAGATGCAAGATGTTATAAACTAGAAAGCGGTACTTGTAGTTGATGAAAGACGCGAGATCTTATAAAATAGAAATGATGTCACATATGGCGCGTGTCATTGGTTGAAGGCAATCGTTCGATTTAGTGCGGCGACGTACGCTAGGGGGAGCGTTGCAATAAAATCGAGTGGGCAAAATGTACGGAGGATTCATGGTTTACCAGGTTTACCTCCGGAGCTTCGCCCACTCATCATCATTCACTTCGTGGATATGGCGGCACTTTTTTTCACTTTCTTTGCATTGCTTCGTTTCTTTCTCTCTCTCTCCCATGACACTCACACTCCGAGTTGATGTCTCACCCAAAACGGTCATCCCGAAGAAATCGACGCACATGTTCCGTGAGAAGAGAACGAAGAGTGATGATGACGATCTTTTTTTTTTTCGACATGCGAATTGTGGCGAGCTTCGCCATCAGAAATGAATATTGCTTTCCACCTTCGAGTCGTCTGACTCGCGTGCGCAGAGGATCACGTCTCTTTGGAAATGCAGCCGCCGTGGTCGGGTACGCAACTCTGGTTTAGCGGCACAGCCACCAAGGTGCCACCAAGGAAGTTTAAAGAAAATTGCTGGAGCCCCGCCTCGGTGGTCTAGTGGCTAAGGTACTCGGCTGCTGACCCGCAGGTCGCGGGATCGAATCCCGGATGCGGCGGCTGCATTTCCTATGAGGGCGGAAATGCTGTAGGCTCGTGTGCTCAGATTCGGGTGCACATTAAAGAACCCCAGATGGTCAAAATTTCCTACTACGGCGTCTGTCATAATCATGTGGTGGTTTTGGGGCGTTAAACCCCACCTATCAATCAATTAATCAATCGAAATTGCTGAAGTGGAAGCTCCCGCAATGCTTTGCAAACAGAAGTAAAGCCACCTTTTGCCCTCCAAAGCCTCTCAGAAACATGCTATTTTCTGGTGGTGCCAACTTAGACATCAAGCGGCTTTGATTTGTTAGTCTAAAGGCTACGGTAATTATAATTTAAAATAGAGTTGTTTGCAAATTAATAATTCACAGAGACTAGTTTTGGTAGCCCAATCTCTAAAAAAAAATTTGCCTTGAAATCAAGGCTTCCTAAAGAAAAAGTAGTAACACAAGGACGCGCTTTGAGCACTATCTCACCCGAAAAGGTGTCCACATAGAACTCGTGGGGCATGCGAGGAAGACTATCATTCTTAATCGTCGAACGCCAACAGCTCATCATGCCACTAGTAAGATGGCTGCCGCCATCTTACGGCAGACATGGCTTCACTCGTGGGCAAGAATATCCACTCGAGCATTTTTTTTAACTTCCTTGTTTACGACCAACCACGCTTAAGCAGGTTGAACCACGGTTAGCACCAAGCACGGTTCGCCACAGCGCAAAAGCGCCCTAGGTTAAGGCACCAAGGAAGCCGCCATTTTTTCGGTTACATGCCCAACCGAGGTTAGCAAGATCGGTTCCCTGAAACAGCGGTTAACCATGCACGATTTCGCGTACCGTGTAACGTAGGTGAACCACGGTTGCACGAAACCGTCGTTAAGTTAATCATGGTTTAGGCTGCCTATGCAACAAGGGTATTAATCTGCGTAAGCGGGTCCGAACTGACATTTGCGTATTTTCAGATTCGTAGAATGGAATCTTCGATAGTGATGGACTTGCAGATGTAATTAATAGGATAATAGATACTATAATCAGTGATGTGTTCTTTTCATTTCGTGCTCCTCCCACGGCGACAACGACCGAGCAGCGGGTGACCGAACAGCTGTCTCGCTCGACACTTTTCATGGCAGCTGTGATTGCTCGTAGAAGGTCACTCCTGTGGTGCAGACGCACCTGAGGAGTTTTGCCACATCTTCACTGCGCAGAAGAGCGCGTGCCCGTTAAGTATGATCATAGTTTTTTTTTTTCTATACACTGTACACAGCAAAGTTTTAAGGGCGGGCTGAAACAGCTTCAGCGATAAAAAACTAACGGCTCCTCTCCGATGCACTTGCATCACTTGACTCGAAGGCGAAAGCCATCGTTTTGTCTTGTGTTTTGACTCCATGTATACAAGGGGCACGCACTGAGTCTTAAGGTGGCAACACCATCGTCGTGCCATTTTGAAGGTCAACCTCTTCGCAGGTGCTGTCTGGGCGTTGGCGTGTGGAAAATCTTCCGGAGTTCTCTATAGTCATCAAAGTCGATGAACAGATCTCGCGGAGAGCGCGCACGGTGAAAGCGAGGACCTTTAGAACGGCAATCCCGATGCTAGCGATCCTGGCGGATGACGTCAAGTGCACATGGGTGCCAGCAGGGAAGTGCAAAATGGGCATCGCACCCCCCATCAAGCCACTGCAGAAGTGGCTCCCCTACCTAAGCGACACCAGTGATTCCATGTTCCCCCATCGCAATGCAACGTGGGTTTGCACCTCCAAGACAAAATCCAGTCGACGGCCGTGCAAGTACATTCACCGATTGAACCGAAAACTTTATGCAGCTAATGTGGTTTGGCAATGTCTCCAGAGTCAAAAGCCCTGTAAGCTTTCTCCACCCTACCTTGATTTGCGCAGGGTTGGTCACCTTTCACCAAGCAATAATGCCATGCGATGACGTCACCGTGTGACTTTACGTTAAGTGACATGTTCATGACGTCACACACTTTGACAATGTGACATAGATATGACTAAGGCGTTGCTTCGGGCTAGTTGCTAATCCATAATAACAAGCTTAATAGCACGGAACTTCTTGCACAAAGGACAAAACAACACGAGTGGCACAAGTGCCGGCTTCTAACGAACGTTTAATATGAGAGCTCGCTAACATATAGAGTGCGAGACAGGCGTGCGCACAGGTGGGGAGTTGCGAAGTCAGTCTTATACATTTAGTAATTGATAGGGTGCACAGTAGCTCGGGGGAAGGTGCGCGCAATCAGCGCCATATATTGATTTTACCCTCCCCCTCTTGCGCACGCCTATGGTGAAAGAGAAAGAAGAAACAACTTCACGCAGTCATGTGTTGGGACACAAGAAGGAAGTCAGGACTCTGCAGAAGCCTATCCGAATCAGGCACGCGTGGCGGGTCTACGTGAAAGATGACTGTTGAAGCATTTGATTGCACCTTTGTGCAAGTTAATTGTGACCACTATTATCGATCAGTCATCAAGCACTGTTCTTCATCTTGGTACAAAACTGCGCATTCATTGAATTCTGGTGTGCACTTACACGGTCGACAATGTCAAGAAAAAGAACATTTTTTTTCCGCCGTTGTGCGCATCTTCAGTTAGTAAGCATTCGTGGTTCTTCTTGTATTTGTGTTTGCAGGCCCTGTCTTACAGATTGAATAAGCAGAACACACGAACGGCGCGCGGCAGCACGCTTTAGACAGCTGTTGCTGGCCGGTACCGTCCGCGCTAAGTATCTTTTTTTCTTCGCCGAGGACCCATTCGGCCAATCATGTTTTGGGCCGCACTGCGCTGCCATGGCGACAAAACTCGGGGCCAGCTGTTCGCCTGAACGCACAAAAACAACAACAACAAAAAGAAACGAAATGCTGAGAGGAGCAGTTCAGTTCGTTTGGCCTATCGCGTACAGAGCGCTGCGTAGTCGAAGCTCGCGCGGCGCTGTTTTGTCGGCCTCTCCGCAGATGGCGACAGGTGCACGCTCCCCGGGCATCGACGTCACTTCGGAGGGAAGAGCGAGTGAAGGAAGGGGGACGCAGCATCCCTGCGGGGGAAGAAGCCAAAACACGGATCGGTGCCCAGAAATGGAGGTGGCCTCATCTTCCGCATCCCATCGTGGTCGGTGGAGCAAAGCCGGGCTCGCCACAGCATCTCTGGCTGAGAACGACGCCGTGCAGCTCAGCCGCGACTCCGACTGAGCCAACCACGATTACGGGATGACGATGACTGCTGAACAGAGCGCGCGTTTCAGCCGAGGGCTGCTGCTGTCCGTATCTTGGCTCTTGCTTTCGCAAGGTGTCGGCGAAGCCGTCAGAATTGGTGAGCGATGCCCCACCACAGATTCTGTTCAATGTCTTGTGGTTGCAGCTTCTTCCGCCGCAGTGTTACGGTGCTCGGCTACTCACCCCAAGGTTGCTGGTTCGCTCCCGCCGCGGGCGTCGCGTTTTGATGGACATGAAATAGTCGAGGCCCCCTGCTATGTCAGCGCACGTTAAAACAACGCCAGATTCTCGAAAGTTCTGGAGCCTATAGCGTGCCTCACACTCACACCGGGGCACGTAAAATCCCAGATATAATTATGAGTTGTACTTCAAGACCCTCGTCTTGGCAATATCCGTAATAGGTTTTTCTGTGTTGAATATGAAGCTAGAAAACCAATCACACCATCCAAGTGGACAAATTGAAATGGGATTGTAGCTGATTCTCATCGGCACAGGTTAATGTGACCGTTAGTGAAGCGGTACATCCGCCTGTGCTTTTTTTACCTATGGTACGATTAGTGTAAATCAATAAACTTGAATCAACGTAACTGTGCAATTATATTCACGTGTACTATTGCTTGAAGATTACTCTTAAACTAAATAATTGGCTCTGTACACTGCTAATAAAAACCAAGCGAAGCGCGTTTCCCTTATTTTGCTATATACGCACCAGCCTGTGCCGCTCACTTTCCATGTAGAAAAAAATCATTTTATTAGCATATATTGTGCAGATAACAATAGAGCAAATTTTTATAGTATAACTCAATAGTAAAACTCGCTATAGTTTACGTACGAATCCTACTGTCAACCCGTGCTGCTATCCTTATATAAGCCTAAACGCAGTGAGACAATTGACAGCCTATCCTGTTTTCGGAGAAGTTACTGCGAAATGCGTAGTATATAATTGCAGTGCTATTTTTTATTCTTCAATTTTGCATTTTATGTATTTGTTTTAAATATTTGAACATTAACCTGGTGTTTTTGACCTTCTCACTTGTGATGTGATATTCCATAACCTAATATAAGTAAAAACGCTTCCTTCCTTAAGTTATCGTTTTCGGAATTGAATGTTGAATATTCCTGGAAAAAAATTTTATACTTAAGCTAAATTAACCCTATATGAAGTAGCACTGACTCTTCGCATACAGGCAACGTTGGCTATACTTTTTTTATGATAGGACCCGCTTATTTACACAAATCTGGCGACTCATACAAAAAAGGGGATTCTTTGTAGTTATCGGTACTGACACTTGCGATTCTTCATAAGGTTTTCCGTCTTTTGCATGGTTGAGCTTGGCAGTTTCCTGTCTAATTACTGCACCCCCGACTTCCACTCCGCAGTGATATTCGTTAAATTATCATTCTTTACGTCAACGCGTTAAGGTTGGTTTGCGAACATCTGTTCTGGTGCGAGACCCCGAATTCCGCCACTTTCCCCCTCAGGCGCTAACTCAGATATTAGTTTCTTGAGCATGAGTTCCCACCATTCATTCCTCATGTCCAGGCAAATTCGAGAACATACCATCTCATGGTCATCACACTGTTTCTTGTCAACCTCTTCTACATCCTGCACGACGCCACCGAGGTGAAAATTTGTAAAGACACGAACACACTGGCGGCGCGGCACTCTGCCGCGTGCCAGTTTATGAACGTACCATGTAGTCATGTTTTATATGACATGCATATCAAGATTATCATGTGTGGACGTGTCGTTTACCTTCGTCGTCCATTCACGTCACGTAATACCAAATTGCGTATATGTGCAGCTTGCGAAACGGCCGCGAGCACGCTATGAGCGTAGCATGTAGTCATGTTTTACATGACGTGCTTGTCATGATTATCATGTTTAAACGTGTCCTTTACCTGCGTCATCCATTCACGTCACGTAATACCAAATTTGATATTCGCAATGTTCACGGCCTATAGGTGGCGCGCCGTGCAATCCAAGATGGCTGCAGAGAGATCATCACGGAGATGATCAGCCCGGGAACTCGCATAGGAGAAGATAGGACCCACGGACGTACTCCCCGTGCCACTTTCGCCGGATGAACTCTTGATCGTCAAATGAATGTGTATCGGACCAAAATACTTTCCGAAACTATAGAAACTGCTGAATGTTCGCTACCTCATTTCGTGACGCAGTGCGAAGGGTGATGGTGTCAGCTGATCATCCGTGTATCAACGATGCTTTGCGTAGTCCTGTGCGTGCTACTGAAAGCTGCGCGAACTAGAATTCACGTGTGAACTGAACGGCAATCCGTGATAATCTGTGCTGAGCCTGCCTGGCTAATTTGCCGCAGTAGTAGGCCACTATAGCGAGTAGTGCGCCGTCGCGGCTGCTCAGTGCAGAATGTCTACCGTAGCGATGGTTTGCAAACATATGACGCCGTCGTCATTACTTGCGCTGTAAGCTTCAGTGCAGCTGCTTCTTCAACGGAACACAAACTTCCCATTAAGTAGCACTTGTGTCAGCGCCATGATCATACTTGGTGCGCAATTCGCTGCTCTCGGATGTTGCAGGTTCTATCAGCGCGGTCAAAACAAGGATATCGAAACGAATGCACGCGTACGCTTCTGGCAACGTCCGAAATTGTAAAAATTGTCGAACAACGTTGTTTGGACGGCACCATTGAAGTGCAGGAGAACTTAGCGTGGGCTGTAGTCGCTTTATAACCAATTCGCTTCGCTGGTCGAGCATGTGTTGTTTTAATATTCACTGTCATGGGGCTACATGCAATGCACAAGCAAAACTATGTTCTTTTTATTTTAAGCTCGCTGAAGGATATTTATATAATAAATACAATCAAAGTGACTTACGAGCGTGAAAAAAAAACATCAATGCACGACGTGACGAGAAATGCGATTCGCTGCTCGGGAGCTATAGCAGCTCATCATTCATCGCCGCTGTCACTCTCAGTGCGTTGACAACCATCTACGTCCAGTGAAAAATTATCGACGTCCAGACGGTTCCTTTGAACATCACTGCTGATAGTAATCTGAGGAAATCTTTCCGCCCAACGAATTCGATAGCACCAACAACGTGCCATTGCACAGCCCAATAAGGTGTCACTCACCAAGTTTATCTGGGGGTGAGGAGAACATTTCCCTCCGCTACCAGGCAAGAAAGAGAGAGAGAGAGAGAGAGAGAATAAAACATTTATATGTGACCGAGGAAGGAATGTCGCTGAGTGGTATCATTAGTCCGCGATCCCATTGGCACGGGCCGCTGTCCTCGCTCGTCTCACGAGGGCCACTTGAGTATTAGGATCCGAGCTGGACAGTGCTGCCTCGCACCCTACAGGGTTGTGCTGTGCTCTGGGTTGTAGAGGTGAATTGTGTGGGCATTCCCATACCATGTGGTACAGGGTGACTCTTTAAGCGACGCAGAACCTGCACTGTGGTGCTATGTGTCTGGATCTATCTTGAACAGTATGTATGGATTGGGGTAAGACAAGGTCTGCAGGTGACGCCACGCTACCTGGGATTCTATACTGAGCTTTAGCCCCGGGGGCGGAAGTTTCCATGTTTCAAGTCTTTGATGTTCTAGAATATCTGTCCATGTTAGGAGCGGGTACGTACGCATAGCCGAGGGTGGGTGCGATATGCCGGGGTCCGAGGTTCGGAAGAGTAATTATTAGGCCGAGGCATGGGCGAGCTCATTGCCTCTGACTCCGCAGTGACCGGGTATCCTTATCAGCTGTTTCCATTCGTCCTCTGAGCGTGAGGACGAGAGTTGTGTAAGAAGTCGATGCGCAACGGGACCATGTAGCCTTTACAAAAATTTCTGTGGGCTGCCTTTGAATCTGTTAGAACGAAGGTGGACCTTAGTTTCGCAGGGCGAGGGCAATTCCTGCTTCTTCTTCCATACTAGTTTTGTCTGTATCCTGGACTGATATACAATCAACCTGTCTTCCACAATGAATTGCGCTTGCTGTACATTTGCCGTTCACTGGTCCAGCTGCATCGACAAAGAAGGCACCCTCAGCTTCCAACGAGAGAAGGGAAAACAACGTATCCCACATGAATAGAGGCAGGACTTCATTACCAAACCACTACCGTGCATCCTCATTTCCACGAACAGCGTCGTCCGTTGTCACAAGCAGGAGCACTGCTCAACCGTCACTGACCAGCAAGGCGTTCGTCGTCATTCAGCTTCGTCATGGTGCCCAACGCCATTTCGCTGAACACTAACTGCTTCATCCGCGTCATCCGCCGCACGACACATGGATATGCACTTGTTCTACGCACTGTTGAAACCCCGTGATGGACAAAGAGATTTGTAAACGTTGCTAAGAGTAATGTAACAGCCAGACGAACACTGCGTAACCAATAACGCGGCGCAGAGCACAGATATTGTCCGCCACGACTCAGCACGAGACCTGGGGAGGCACACATTCCGCCGCCAGCCGCGGCCGCTCACTGCTAGACCAGCTTCACTGCGCAACACGTAACCATAACAACGCCGCCATTGTGCCTACCGAATATGGCCGCCATGATGTCATTTCCGCCACAATTTTTATGCCCTGCGCCGGCTGGGCATGCCCTCTCCTTACCTTTTTCCTTCCTCCGTGAACGTAACAAACAAACGGTGCAGCGTAGGCCAAGGTTTGGAAGAAATCGTATGCCTGCGCTACTTTCCGCTTGCAATAAATGTTATGGGAGTCGTGCACTACAAAAGCACTGACGGATGCTACGTGCATGTAAACAAGGTGACCTTCAACTGCAAAGGGTAGACAACAACATTTAACTATTCAACGCGGCTGCAGAAAATCTCACGAAGCTGATATGTGTATGCTGGGGGCTATTAACGAAAGCGCGAGTTGTGACGTATTTTCACGAAACCTTCGCCTCTCGCAAGAACAAATCAGATCTATTGTGTCACAGGATGGTCCGGTATATTCACTGATGCACGCAACATACTTAGTGGTTTGTGTTAGTTTCTTGCTAACTCGCTATCACTGAGGCTAGCACCAGCGAACAAGGGAGCGTCGGGAGCGCCTGCCTAGTGATCATCCATGAGAGGGCGCTCCTGAATTCCACTAGGCGGTGCGACAGTTT